TTACTTCTTCCTACCATCTATGAGAACTTGGGCAACATATTTGCTAAATTTCAGTTTTGTAGTCTTTAAAATGAGGATTGTTTTACTTACGTGTAGTTTTGCTTTGTTTTAGTTTCAGTTTTAAATGAAAGTATGCATCTAAAGCTCTAACTTCAAGTACAGTACACAGAAGTGCTCAAGAAATTTAATATCCCATTTTATGAATCATCATCATCACCACCATTATCACCCTTACAGCTAGGCTTGACTAAATGCCTGCTTTGTGCTAGGGATAATGCTAAGTGCTGTGTAGATAGAGAAATGAAATGAGATACAATTCCTATTTTTCCAGTGAAGGGCATACTAACTATAGTTCAAGTTCAAATCCATACTACGGAAGTGCAAGAAGTGGAGGGAATGCCAAGAAGGGCTCTGCAAGAAGGGAGAGACTTTATGGAGAAAGTGACTTTTGAACTGGCCTACAAAGTTTCCATAAAAATGCTTTATTCTAAACAGTTACTAACCCTCTCTAGGAGCAACGTTGTTACTCTTCATTAATTATTTGGTAGTGTGAAATGATTAATGTTTAATGCTCTCCTATGGAACAGGCTTTCTTAATGAGTTCAATTAAATTGTTTGTCATTGAAGCATAACTAAATGAAAGTTGCACAGTGGAAGGAAACTATAAAGACTCTTCAATACCACTTTACCATGACTATTGCTTCACACAGATCCTTTAAAGATTTACGGACTGACACACTTTAATAGCACATTATCTTCCTGTGCAAAATGAAGAAGAGAAATTACTTGAACCTAATAATGATCTTCACAATTCAGGCCTCACACCAGGATAATTACTGAATGACTGAGGCAGAGTAAGTTTTCCTCAATTATCCAGGTAATTGCTTCACTTTATAGAATATAAAGTTTTTTTTTTTTTTTTTTTTTTTGAGGGACATATAATAAAAGGGGAAGAAGAGAATTTCAGTTAGGGGGAAAAATGACATTTTAAATGTTAAATACCTGGTTCTGAAAGCAGGTACTACTGAGAGAGTGCTGGAAACACTCTCATATTCTAAAGCAGAATGACACTTCTTAGGACAATGTTCTTTATTTGCTCTACCTCTCCACTGCTTTTCCAAAAAGCTGTATATTATCCTTTCCTTGCATTCTCTTCAGACTTACAAGTCTAGCTACTGCATTGAACAGTTGCAAGATCTATACATCATAGCATAGTTTACTTTGCTCCATATATATTCTGTATACAGGTATAGACAAATGGAAAAGGAAAAAAAATATTAAATTATTTTGCTACAAATAACAAACATCATGATAATTATAACGTCTTAAAGAAAGTCTTTTAACCAAAGTTGTATACTCACATAAGAATCAAATAGTCCTAACAAGGCTTGTTATGAAAAACTGCAGTTCCCTATTACTGTCCCCCTATTTCTCCCTGTTCAAGAAGTAACTACTTTCACTTCTTACAGCCAATTATTTTGATATTTACCTTCATGTCCTAAATACCATGTATTGTTATTCTTTGCTTTTAGTTTTTCAAATTTTAGGCATTATTGGTTGGCTTTCTGCTATGGAAGCTGAGGGTTTTTTCTTTTTTCCTTTCCCCTGACCAATAATCTATAAACCTTTCTATCTCCCATCTGGTAATCAGTTATCTCTTATTTTTAAGAGTAGGGCACTAAAAAGCTGATTGGATGCTCTGAGTACAGATAATCCCCAAATTATGACATATTCGAGTTACGACTAACCACACTTAACACCATCCTTTTTTTTTTTTTTTACATCTTATTGTTAGTAATATGTACTACATACAATGTTGCAGTGCATAATTTGCTGATGTTGTCATTCTTATGCCAACCCCCAAATGCAAATGAAGATTAGATTTATAAAGATACTGATAATAAAAGGCAATAATAATGAAAACTAAAAAAAAAAAAAGGTCAGAACCGACTTATGATGGGGTCGCTGGAATGGAACCACATTGTAAATTGGAGACTACCTGTACATGGTTGGGACTGAACTGTGACCTTCCCTGTAGGGCGAACTGGTTAGGAAGATTCAGATTTAAGTATCTTGTAGGTCTTTCCTCTTGGAGTAATCAGATTCCCCAGAGAAGACTCTTCCAATCTCCTGCCTGGAGAATAAGAGCTTGGCTGCCAGTGCAGGGGAGGTGGATGAAGCCTCAGCACCCAAGATGTATGTGTTCATTCATTTCCTACCCCCAATGTGTTACTGTAAAACTTTTGAACATTCAGAAAGGTTGAAAGAATAGTACAATGGACACCTCTTAACCCTTCCCCTGGATTCAACATTGTTAAAAGTTTGTCATATGTGTTCTTGCCTCCCTCCCTCCCCCTCTCTTTCTTTCTGAACCATTTGAAAGTATGGTGAAGTCATCATGACACTTCATTCTTAAATATTTCAGCATACATCTCCTCAAAATAAGGACGTTTGTTCTACACAATCACAACGGCATTATCATACCTAAGAAAAAATATCAATAATTTCATGTTATCATCTGATATCTAGTTCTTATTCAAACTTTCCCAACTGTAAGAAAAACTCTTGTTTTCTTGGATGGTACCTTTACTTTAAACTATGCTTCACATTCCCAAATCCAGGCTTTTGTTTTACTCTCCCCTGATAATAGTCTTTTGTTAGAGGGAAAGGGGAAACAGTCACCTAGCTATGTACAGTAAGGGAGGGTACTGTATTATTTCTTAATTTGCAACATCCCTCATCCCCACCACCAAACGTACCTGTTTTTTACCCTCACTTCCAGTGGTATTTGGTGCTGCCGTTTCCTGAGTGAACTTTTTGGGGATTCTGTGTTGCAAATTGGGTTAATTCTTGGCATTTTCCATTGCCAAATTAGGGTTTGGTTTTATCATTTCTGCTGTGTTGAGGATGGCCATATTATTTATTGTTCACACCAGATCACACTTGGAAGTAAAAGTGGGCATTCTTATTAACTATGCCAGGAAAATAGGCGTAAGCCAGGACTGTCCATGGTTGACCAGCATATGGTCACCTTAGGAAGTCATTTCCTATCTGCTTTCCAACTTCAAACTTTTGTTATGATCCCCTCATCTGCTCTCATCCTTGCATCTTAAGTATTAAAAAAAATAAAAATCCCTTTCCTGTTGTCTTATGGGGTTTTGTGAGTAAAGAAAATTGTATGTGTTCAACGAATACACCATCTTTACCCCGAAAAAAAGCCCTGGTGACAGAATGATTAATCTTATGTATCTCATTTCCCCTCATGCAGTGGCTTTCATATTATTGGACTGCAACCTACATTAAAACATATATTTTATATTGCAACCAGTAAGCATGTACCAAAGGAACCCTGGTGCCACAGTGGTTAAGCCTTCCATTGCTAACTCAAAGGTTGGGCAGGCAGTTCCAACCTACCAGCCATCCGTAGGAGAAAAACTTGGTGTCTTAGTCAATACCACAGGCAAACAACTTTAACAAACAGAAATTTATTTTTCTCACAATTTAGGGGACTAGAAGTCCAAATTCTGGGGGTAAATTCATTCTGAGTCTCCCAAGAGCCAAGGCAAAAAGGAAAACACGGTGAGTTATACTTTTACATTCCTTATCTAATAAAAGAAATATCGCTAGGTAGCAACTAACTTAAGGGAAAGATGTGGCAATCTGCTTCTGTAAAGATTTACAGCCTTGGAAACACTATGGGGGGCAGTTCTACTCTGTCCTGTGGGATACCCATGACTCGGAATCAACTCGATGGCAACGGGTTAAGTTTTTGGTTGGCAGCGACTAACTTACTTCCTAGTGTTAGAGTCTACAACGAATTTCTCAGCGGTGACAGATGAAGGAACACATTAGTTCAGAGAGGCTAAACGTCTTCTTACCCCCCTCTGAGCTGAAGCCAGAGCCTCTTCCTCCAAGTTGCTGCCTTCCAAGATCTGAAAGCCACGTGCAAGAGGCACTTGAGAAGCGTCAAACATTCTGGAGTTTCAGGCAGAGGGTCCCTAAACTAGCTTCTGAGCCTTTCAGGGGCTTCAGTGGCATAAAAATTTGAGGTGGGCACGCATGGTTACTAAGGATTGAGAAGTGGTTACTGTTTTTTCCCCAGACCTTAGCGCGGTGAGTGTACGTGACAGTCCTCTCCACCTGACGTGAACTCCATGACTTGGAGCTCGCTTCCCAAGCGGGGGCCGCAATTTTCCTTCCGGCCTCAACGCAGCGGACTCAAAACACTAGACCCACAGAGCAGAACCCGAGCGGACCCCAGCAGGAGAATCTGGTGGGACCGAAAATTCCTGCGGAGACCGAGAAGAAGCGAATGGCTTTCCTCTCTACCCAATCAGGTGAGAGCGAACCTTGACACGCCCCCTTCCGCCTACCAATCAGCGCCTACCTCGTTGGGCCGAGCCCATTAACACCGGGAAAACGCGTTTTAAATTTTATTAGTACAGCTTTCGCTTTTTTCCCCCGTCAGCACAGGTCGTCTCACGAACTGCTCAAAACTGGAAAACTGAGCGTAACAATTCCAAACTTAGTTAGTCTCGCATTGAGAAGTGAAATTGTAGACCTCTCCATCGAAACCGTGGATTCTTAGATGGGCCAGGAAAGGGAACAGAAGGTTCTCGAGGGTAAACTACAACTCCCAAGGGGCCTGGCGCGAACTTGGAGGCGCTCGCGAGGGGGCGGGCCATTATAAGGAAGAAGGCTTAGGGTCACGGTGTTTCTCCCTGACTTCCTGAACGTGAGCAAGTGACTGGGCAGGGCCTGGAGATGGGCGGAGCGGTGGCTCCAGGGCTCGGGGGCTTTATGCCTCCTCCCTCCGGTTGCTCCGCCTAAGACGTAGGAGGGGGCGTGGCTCGCGCGGAGGCTGGTGGGGGTCGGAGCGCCGCCGAACGTGGGTGACGCGTCTTCTTCCAGCTCAGCGGTGGGTGAGGTGTCGCGGCCCCGCCGGCGATTGGCTGTTGAGAGGCGAATACGCGGCGGCCGTTGGTCGCCGGCATCACGGAGCTAGAGCCGGAGCGGGCGGGGGGGACATGGGGCGGCAGTGGCGGCGGCGGAGGCTGGAGGAGGCGGGCGCGGACGAGTCGGCGGCTGCAGCAACAGCGACAGCCCCCGGAGCCCTCTTGTGAAGCGCCCTTGTCTGCGCCGCCCCAGGTCCCTGGGAGAGGGAGGCCGCCGAAGAGCCGGTCCCCCGCTAATATAGCCTTTAGGACTCTCGGTCCCATCCTCGCTCTCATACTCCGGCTCCTCCATCTTGGCCTCGGCAGTGGCGGCTGCCGGGAGGATGTGCCGCCTTCTGGCAGGGGGAAGAAGGAGAAGATGAAGAAGTACCGGCGGGCCTTGGCCCTGGTCTCCTGCCTCTGTTTGTGTTCCCTGGTGTGGTGAGTAGCCGCGACGACACGGGAGTTCCCCTTGAGGGGAGAGGAGGGAGGGGGCAGCCCAGGTCACACCCCCAAATCATCTTGGCTTTTAGGGTGCAGGTCTGTAAGGCCCGCATGAAGCGACAAAGTATTTACTTCGCTACTCTCCCGCTGACTGGCCTGGCAGCACGCTGTGCGGAGATTTTCCTAGTGTGTTTTGAAATTTACACAGAGACTAAGTGGGAAAGAAAAGTGCCTAGGTAGAGGAAACCAAGTGCCTTTGTACTCAATTACTTTACCTCTTGGAGACGGTGCAGTGTTTGGAATAGTGTTGAGATACATAGTAGATGAGTTGCTCCGGTTTACTGCCAAACCAAACCTGTTGCCGTCGAGTCGATTCTGACTCATAGCGACCCCATAGAACAAGGTAGAACTGCTCCATAGGGTTTCCAAGGAACGGCTGGTGGATTCGAACTGCTCACCTTTTGGTTAGCAGCCGTAGCTGTTTACCACTGCGCCACCAGGACCCTGATTTACTGCGAGGTACTTGATTTCATAGCGTGGGAAAGACATAAAGCATACCACATGTAGTGTATTGTGACAGGCTGTTTTAAAAAGGTGAGTCGTCATGAGGGTAAGAGTAGTGTATAAGTAAGCAGTAGTTCTGGCCATTTCTTGCAGAATCTTTGGCCTCCAGTACATTTTGGGGTGCCATTCTTGGAAACTTTTGGGGGCATTATGAAGCGCTTTTTCAGGGGAGGATGATGATGGGGAGCCATTGGGTTGGTGGAGAGGATGTCGTAGGTGTAGTGTGTAAAGTAAGTTGTGGTGATGTGGCTTGGGTAATGTCTCTTAGTAATGGGAGGGTGTCTTAGTTTTCTAGTGCTGCTATAACAGAAATACCACAGTGTCTGACAGGCAGGCCTCTCTCTGCTTGGTCAAGTGTTATAAAACTCCTTAGCGCCACTCATAAGTGCCCAGAGGCATTCCCCTTCACGAGAAAGCCTGTTGCCGAAGCCGCTCAGCTCTCTCGTTCTGTGGGTCCACATTCCCACTGTAACTGACTTGCTCCGTGCACGGCACTGTCTCTCCCCAGTCTCCAGGTTCTGCTGCTGCCATTACGATTCAGGATCAGGAACAACTCAGAATATAGCTGTTTGGTCAGGAGGCTTCCTGGCAGAGTGGAGTGCCTCTGGGCACTTCCCTACGGAACTAGATTTGCCTAGGGTGCAAGAGAGCTGAGTACCTTTGGGCACAAGGCTTCCTGGTGGAGTAGGGTGCCTCTGGGCACTTAAGAGTGGAGCTAAAGAGCTTTGTAACACTTGATGGAGCAGGGAGAGCCCTGCCTGCCTGCTGGCATGGCTGAAAAGCCATCCACTTACGGTATTTCTGTTATAGCAGTACTCTATAACTAAAACAGAATTTGGTACTGAGAGTGGGGTGCTGCTCTAACAGATACCTAAAATATGGAAGAGATTTCAAAATTGGGTAATGGATAGAGGTAGGAAGAGTTTTAAGGTGTGTAATAGTAAAAGCCAAGGTTGCCTTGAAGAGACTTTTCGTAGAATTATGGACATCAAAGGCAGTTCTGGTGAGGGCTTAGAAGGAAGTGAGGAGAGCTGTAGAGAAAGTCTCTGTCACCTTAGAGAATACATATGACACCAGCAACAGAGTGTTGCTAGAAATGTGGATGTTAAATGTGCTTCTGGTGAGGCTTTAAAGAAAATGATGAACATATGATTGGACAACAGAGGAAGGGTGATAGCTTTTATGCAGTGACAAAGAACTTGTCTAAATTATGTTCAAATGTTTGGTAGAAGGTAGAACTTGTAGGTGATGAACTTGGATATCTGGCTGAGGAGATTTCTAAGCACGATCTTAAAGGGGCTGTGTGGTTTCTCCTTGCCTCTTATAGGAAAATGGAAGAGGAAAGAGATAGACTTAAAAGTGAACTGTGCAAAATGAAAACAGAACTTAAAGACTGGGAAAATTCTGTTGTGCAAACTAAGAATGTTAACTAAGGACATGGCTCACAGTCTTTTGTTAAAGAGATTAAGCCTGTGACTGATGGATTTAACCTTTTACCACAGTAGAAAATCCATCAGTATAGACTGAAGGAGACAGAGAAAGAACAAAAGGAAAGTATGTTGTCTGCCTCTTGGAATTCTACAGACAGGAAACAGGCCCAAGGAGCTACATCCGTTGTCCTCCAAGAAAAGAAAAGGACCATCTCTGGAGCAGCTCGGAGATCAGCAGAACTGTTGGAAGGAGCACAGGAAGCAGAGCCTTCTTGGTTGCAGAGGGTGGGGCCACAGTCTCTTGGATCTCAAAGGATGGGCCTATAGCCTGCTGGGTTTCAGAGAGTCAAATCTTTACCAACTCGGTTCCAGAGTGTGGAGCTGCCATTAAGGTATGAAGAACGGGACCTGCCACGGCTGAGGGAGTAGTCCACTCAGATGGACTAGGAGCGTGTGGACTCCCAAAGGTGAGGGAGCAGAGTTGCCGTCCCAGTGGGCCTGGAAGGTGGAGCTGAAGCCCAGGATTGAGGGGCCTCCACCCAGAATCCAGAGAGCATGACCAACATCGAGAGTCTGGGGGAAGGGTGCATTGTCTAGATTATCTCAGGGAAGAGAGGATTATTTTGAAGCCTTGAGAATCAAAGCAAAGGCCAAACCCATTGCCATCGAGTTGATTCCAACTCATAAACAAATGTAAATTGTTCTGCTAGGTTTTGAACTTGCTGGGTGCCCATTATCCTTTCTTTCCCTTCAATTTCTCCTGTTTGTAATGGAAATGTCTACCTTGTGCCTTTTCTACCATGGTACTTTGAAAGTAGATAACTTATATTCTAAGATTTCACAAGTTCACAGATGAAGAAGAATTTTGCCCCAAGATGGAATATGCCTAAAGTCTCACTCACGTTTGATTTAGACGCGTCAGAAGATGAGATTTTGGATTTGGAGTTGATTTAAGACTTTTGGGATGATACGATGGCATGAATATGTTTTCCATGTGACATGGACATGAATTTGGGGGAGCTAAAGGGTAGAATGTTATATAGACTGAATTGTGCCCCCATTAAAATGTGCTGTAATTCCTAATTTCTAAGCCTGTGGTTATAATCCCATTTGGGAATCGGTTGTCTTTGTTATGTTAATGAGGCAGGATTAGTGTAAGGTATATTTTGAGTCAGTTTCTTTTCACTATGAAAGAAGAGATTAAACAAACAAGCTAAGAAGCAGAGATGGGGGAAGAACATGAAGATCATCCAGGAGCAGAAGCTCAGAAGAGACAAGGACCTTCCTCCAGAGCTGACAGGGAGAGGAAGCCTTCCCCTAGAGCTGGCACCCTGAATTCACACTTCCAGCCTCCTAAACTGTGAGAAAATAAATTTCTGTTTGTTAAATCCAAAAAAGGAGGGAAAATTCTGTATTTTGGATAGTCCTGGAGAGTTCATTTCCTAAATTGGTATCTGGCTGGTACGATCCTGCGTCCTAGGTTCTGCCTGTGAGCTGAAGCTGTTTGTCCTCAGATCAAAGAAC